ACAGGGATAATAAAATACATAACTTTTCTTTCTTGACTTAAAATGTACAACATGATTTGAATGAAGTATATGTAAGGACTGTGGAAGAAACACACACACGGAATATATTTGTAACCAATCGATACGCTTTCAACAAGATGTAACGAAAGATGATTTTTTTTCTTGTTTTTTTTTGGTTTAACTAAAAAAATAAAAAAAATTCTCAAAAAAAAAAAAGTACCAGGCTGCAGTTTGGGGTCAGTGCGGCCCGGGGGCTTTTCCAAAGCCTGATGGAGTGACTATTGCAAGGGATTCCGGGGGTGGGTGGGTGCCATACTTCAATGACATATTCATCTCGGGGTACTTTACAGAACAACTGATGGGACATGTACATGAGACACTGGGGAGGTTCCAGGAAAAGGGACTCAAGGTGAACCCAGATAAATGCAAGATCGGTGTGAGGCAGGTAGAATTCCTAGGCTACCTCATAGACAGGTCGGGCATCCATCCCATAGACAGTAAGGTGAACGCAATATAAGTACACCCCCATCTCGACCAATAAGACAAAATTACAAGCCTTGTTAAGATTGCTACACTTTTATAGCATTGTTTTGAAACAGAATGCAACTTATGCTGAACCACTCCATAAGCTCCTAGGGAAGACCATGCCATGGACTTGGGAACAGAAGTAAGACCGAGTCTTTGCAGCAGTAAAAGACCTCCTCTCCTCCGACAGCGTCCTGATACAATTCAACCACACTTTGCCAGTCCTGATAACTTGCGATGCCTCCCCTTTTGGCATCAGAGCTGTTCTCAGCCACCGTCTGCCGGATGGGTCAGAAGCCTCGATAGCCTACTACTTGAAGACCTTGTCACCAGCAGAACGGAACTACAGCCAAATTGACAAGGAAGCCTTGGCTGCAGGCTACAGGAGAAGCTGGAGAAAGAGTTCAAGAACTTCCAAAGTAAGCAATCCAAACTGTCGACCATTAAGGAATGCTTGCTATGGGGGGGAAGAGTCATAGTGCTCCAAAAGCTACGGAGGCAAGCATTGGAAGCCCTACATGTGGAACATCCAGGACTATTGCACATGAAAGCACTGGCCCAGAGCTACATCTGGTGGCTCAACATGGACAAGGACATCACCAAATGGGTGGCCACCTGCAGACCCTGCCAAGAAACATGGCCAGCACCGCCAAGGACACCAGCCCAGGAGTGGGAGACAGCCAAGGGTCCATGGTCATGAATACACATCGACTTTACCGGGCCAGTGGAGGGCCAGACGTTCCTGATTGTGTGGACACCTATTCCAAATGGCTGGAAGTTGTCATCATGCCCACCACCATGGCAGAGGCCACCATCCGAGCACTACGGCAGCTTTTCACAACTCACAGGATGCTGGATGTCCTGATCTCCAACAATGGACCCCAGTTGACTGCCAAGATCATGGAGGCGTTCCTCGCAGAACAGGGCATCCAGGATGTCCTCATCGCACCCTTCAACCCAGCAAGCAGTGGACAGGCCAAATGGATGGTGAGATTAATCAAGGAGACCCCCACCCAGATGGACCCTGGGAATTGGCAGGAGAAGGTAGACCAGTTCCTACTAGCCCAACACATTACCCCCAGTGTGACCACCAACAAGAGCCCTGCCCAGCTGTTAATGTGTAAGAGGCTGAGATCCCAGTTTGACAGGTTCAACCCCGATGACCTCCCTGAAACACCTCTGGACTCTGCTGGCCTACCCAAGCATTCAGCATCAACGACTGGGTATTTGTACATAATTGTACTGGATACCCGACCTGGCTAGGAGGCCGGATAGTCACCAGGCCCAAATCGTACCAAGTGGAACTGGAGGATGGGAGAGTGTGGAGTAGACACATCAACCAGTTCAGAAACTGCCTGGAGGACTCAGAATTAAGGAACCAAGATGACTGGGCCGCACAGGCAGACCCAGGGCAGAACTGCGAACAACCAGGGTCTCCGCCCCGAGGAGCATGCACAACCACCAGTCGAAAGACGGGCGAACAAGAACAAGCACAGACACAGACACACAGACATCGAGGTGAACTATGTTCCAGCCCAAGAATAATATGTGGTCACTTATCTGGGGTCGAAGGCATCCAGCGGAGAGACGAGGCCACAGGAACCAAGGGAACCAGGCTTTAACTCGACTTGCGGTACAGGGAGTTCCAGGAGCTTCCATTCCAGGGAGCCAGAGAGACTATAGGGTCAACCGCATTGACCGAGATCCCAGGAACAAGTGAGCTGTGCAGGTCCAGTAGAAACCCAACGCACCCCGCCTACCTGAAGAACTACGTCATCTACGTGGGCCGGGAATTGGACACTGTTCATTCTTTGAGGGGAGGGGTGTTACGTACAGACAGACATAGCCCAGATTTACATGTCCCTGTGGATTGGTTCGCCAAACCATGGGAAGTTTAAATTGTTGTTATTGGCCAGCTGGTCTGCCAGAGCTCCTTAAAGGGCGAGCTCCGGCAGCCCAGCTGGCAGAGCGTATTGCTTAGGCTTAGAAATAAAAAAGTGCTGAAAGCCATTCAAGCCTCTTGCCTGATCTATTCGCGCCGATCTAACAATTACTACTATTTTTAATTGATTCAAAGGTTGAACATGTTCTTTTAAAAGAATCTAATCACTGTTTTCAGTCTAAAGAACCCTCCTTTTTAAGAACTAGCTTGCATATTGTCTGTTAATATCGTCAGTCCCAGAATGTTCCATGGCCAAATAAGTTTGGGAAATAGTGAGTCAATCGAAGTTGTATCCTGTCTTACACTTTAGCATAGAATTTTGTCTTAAAAAAATCAGGTTACTGTAGCAAGGAAGACTTCCTGTTGGGTTCTCACCTGAATGCAGAACAGATGATCTCCCTTCCACCGCAGTCTTGGCTTTCACAGCAGTTACAGTAGTGACCACAGTCCCACAAGGCATGACAGTTCGATCCTTTTCTACTTTTGCAACAGGAAGCTTGGCAGGAACTTGCAGTGATTTGGTTTCTGATGGTTCTATGTACAAGAACTAAAGAAAGAGAATACTTAACATCTTAAAGTAAGGATAGTTGAAAATATATCTGGCTTTTGTGGGGAAAAGGAATAGATCAAATCATTCTAAAAACCTGTAAGTGTCAACACAGTCGCACCCCTTTTTAAAAAATCATATACAAACTTATGGCCTCTGATGGGCTTGAGATGGGATACTTTACTGTTTTGTCTACAGTTTATCATTATATGCATAATGAGTCAAATGACTAGGGTCAGGATATATTCAAGAAAATAAAATTCAAGTAATTTTAAACTTACTACCTCTGCGGACACAGATCCTACTGCAGAGCTATTATTGCGGATTTGGCTGTTCAATGCAAAACTTTGCAGTCCAGAAGGCTGTTTCCTGAATAAATCCAAAGGAACATTAGCAGAAACGGAAGAATCACCTGAATAAAACAGATATAATTTATTAAAATTTTCAGTATGGAAAATTATGTTGAGAACAAGTTTTAAATATTTTGGGACATATTATATTAAAAACTACTTTTATCTTTGATGTAAATCAGAAAAGAAGTTACTATTTCCAGTGTACCATTTGTCACTTCATAAGGAAGTCACTGAGGAAGTAGACATTGGGGCTCTGATTTCTGCCATTTACGTTTGGACCCATGTCTCTCTCACCTCTAAGGTGACCTTGGAGACATATTCTACTGTTTTAAAGAAAGTGGTAATTCATCCTCTCCTCAAGACACCATTCAACAGTACTGGACAATCTTTGCCCAGTATCCAATCTTTTCTTTTTATAAGTTATTGAGGTGGTGATAGGTTTGCAACTTCAAAGGAACATGAAAGAAACAGATTTCCAGGGCTATTTTCATTGGGGTTTCAAGCCACATTACAGAGCCACTTAATGGATAATCTATGCAGGTTTAAGATGGGGCTGTGTATCTGTACTAAGCCTCCTTGATCTTCCAACAGCCTTCAGTATCATTAAACATGGTATCCTTCTGAACTGACCCATGGAGCTGGGAGTGCAGGACACAGTTTCATGGTGGTCCTCCTCTTTTCAAATTGATTCTGGTTCTGGTAAAGATAACCAGCCCTAATCCTATTTTGCAAGTGCTCCAGAGCTAATTTCCAATTTACCATCTATATGAAACAGATGACAAGGTAATTTGTTGGCAGAGGGCTAAGAATCAACAACATGTTGATAATATTCAGTTATATGTCTCTGCCCATGTTTTATGTAGGTTTTTGACTGCTATTCAAGATTCTGTTTGTCATTTTTAAAGCCCTGCATTGCATAAGGTCAAGTTATTAGTGGGATCAATTGACCCCAGTGGTTTCTGCTCATCCCTCCTCAGGTGGCAGGTCTGCTTTGTGAAACAATGTTATTTAGTAGAACCAAAGATGCTTCTGTTATGCTTGTCCCATAGCCTCCCCCCCCCCCCCCCCGAATCCAGATGGGCCTGATTCTATCAACCTCCTGGAAAGCCTTGAAGGCCATTTCCTCAGACAATGATATTAGAGGGTAGCATATGTGTTTTGCCTTTATGCTGTTAATCACCCATTATGCACCCATAATGGTTGGACCGTTCTCCAACCATTAGTTTCTCCAAAACTAAATGGGTTAGTCGTTAGATGGTTAAACAAGATCTTGGTTTTCACTGTTTGCTTAGAGTTCATTGAGGAAAGAATGGCTGGAGAAATAACACTTGGGCTTCTATGGTGTTCAACAGTTTCTCCTGCTGCTCTCTTCTTCTCATTGGGCACTCTTCAGTTTTACAAACAGAGAAGATAAATTAAACCACCTCTTTGGAGAGAATGAGTCTCCAACAGTACTTACCATCCAACTCTCCATTTTCTGTAATGCTGATTTGCAGCTCTGTTGATTTGGCATTTAACTCACTGTGTACAAACATAACTTGTAGTTAGCAAAGCATTCAGATACATAGATAATCCCATATTTTAAAACATGGTTTCTTAACTGCATAATGGAATTTCTGCTTGTCAAGTAGTTGTTAAAAGCAGAACCACCTGTTTGGAAGGGAAAAAAATCCCCAATGCTGGCAAAAACATACTTTATTTTGTTTGAGCAAACACAGTCTTAATACTAGCATTAAGTTTCACTTATTCAGTAAGTTTACCAATGTTTAATTTGTAAGAAAGTGTAGCTTTGTATTAAACTATTTTTATTTTTCTGATTGGAATCTGTAATCACATTCCCACTTATCTAGGAATAAGAATAACTAAACTCAGTAGAACTTACTTCTGAGTAGGTTTGCAGGGTTGTGAACTACTAAAAAAGACTTTGGTCAAACAGGAGTACATAGAGAAAAAGAACATATTCTTTCTATCTAAAATTCAGACATAAATCATTATGCTTACAGCTATTATTCTAGCCCCTTCCTAAAATCCAGTATAGACAGGAGTAGTAAATTAGTCTTGGTATCTTTTAATAAGAATAGCTGTCACTTCCCAAGAAACTATTGCACAGAGGGAGAGAAAAAAAGAATGACCCTGCTTATTTTTATGCTGTCTCTTAAGAAATAACCACCAAGGGAACTTCATAGGCACATCATATAAAAAGAAAAGTTCCCTTCCCCTAGGCTGTTTTGTCTTCTGACACAGCAGTGAAGGAACAAAGCAAAACAATTTCAGTACCTCCAGCAGGCCAGGCTGGTCAAAGTAGAATACTAAAGTGAAACTGTGGCCATGTTTTAGAAGAAGCAAACAACCAAATGATGCAGAAAATCCAACTTTAACTTAAGAGACTCTCTGTGTAATCCATATCTCATGCTGATCCAAAACATACTTTATTTACTTTTGGCTTTGTCTTGTGTGAATCAAGCTGTTGCCACTTGGTAAATAAAACATGGGGTAGTGTAATGCTTGAACCTGTTAGGTTCAAACATTACACTACTCCATGTTTTATTTACCAAGTGACAAGCTGTCCTCTAACTATTGTTATGTCCAATCAGTGCTGGAATCCATGATTATTTTTAAATATATTGTTAGATGATTGCTTCATTGAGAGGTTTTATAACATAGGTGTACTCACACAGGAAATGTGCAAAAGTTCAAATAGCATACGGTATGACAAAAGAAAAACAAAACCTAAAATCCCACCCCATCCTTACACTAATATTTGCCAGTGTGCAATCTGAATGTAATTGACACTCCAGAACAATCTACAATAAAGATGTGATCATGCTCCTTATTCTTCATTATAATGCTATGCTATGTACTGCTCTGTGTAAGCTTTCAGCCTCAGTAAGCAAATAGGATTTTTCACACTAAGAGGTTAAAAAAATAGGGAACTGTTTTCTACCATGTTTGTAAACATATCATAAAGAGTACTTACAAAATAAATTCCTTCTTCCAAGAAAGGTCCATGGGGTAATTGGCAAAAGAGCTACAAAATTTCTGCAAAGGGTCATTGAGTTGAACTATACAAATGGGGTTAATGATACCTGTAATGAAAAAAAATGGAAAACAACTTAAATAAAACAAGAGTTTCTTACTTGGTGTGCAACTACATTAAAAATGGTTTTATGCATTTCAGATCAGTGGGTTACTGGAATGCAGGTTCGAAACCCATATAAGAACTCCTGCTGTGCTTGGGAGATTTTAAATGAAGAATCTAAACATGTACCAACACATAAATATTGTAATGTTTATTATCTGTGTGATAACCATATAGAAGTAAGGTAGAGATATTAAAAGCTTGAGATGTCTCTTATGTGCAAAGGACTGATTTATTCTTTCATGGTCAGGGGAGAGCTTTGATGAATAAAATCTTAATGACAAAAATATAAAATGAAAAAAATACAACTCAATATTTTTAAATTATTTAAGAAGTCAAAGTCATTATTAGTCATGTACAGCTTCATTAAGAAAAAAAGTAGCCAAACCATATTTTAAACTAACTAAAATTTATTTCAAAGACTACTTCAGTCAAGACAAGGCCAAAGTTTAAAAAGCAGGATGGAAACACAGTAAAGAATGTAGAAGCAATGTGGGTAAACCACTTGTTTTCCTTAATGCTCACCTTCCCTGAATTCCCTGAAGGAAGTATGCAAGCGCAGGCTGGTAAAGGCTTACAAAACCGGGTGGACAAGTTATGTACTCACCTCTTTAAACACATATTGCATGACTTAGTACTTGATGTTATGACCACTTAATAGCACTTAGAAGAACTGCAATGTCTGGCTTAAGTAACATTTGGAAGAATAAGGACATCAGCCTCACAACCAAATGCAATTTAAGGCAATATTTTTTTCATTTGTTACTTATGGCTGTGAAACCCGGACTCTGAAAAAGGCAGATGGGAGTCATCTACAAATGTTCATATGAATTAACAAGCCTCAATATGTAACTATTAGAATATAATAGCAAATATATTACTTTGTATAACATATTAGTTACCACATGCCAATTCTAATAAAAAGATGGGGAGAAAAAATATGAAAGGTTTTTATCCTACAAGAGTATATAGATATCTTTCCTGTTCTTCTGCCTACAAATATTAAGTATTAAGAACTGGTTAAAAAGTAAGTTCACTTGAATTGCAATGATCTTAATTTTTTTTATAATAGGAATTTACAGCCATCTGATTAAAACACAAATTACCTGATTTTGAATGAAATGTTTGAAATGGTCCATTTTAGACTCAAAACAGTGATTTCATTTTTGAGCCAGAGACATTTTGTGCTTGAAATAGGGTATTTTGCATTCCAAACATTTTGTATATTCTAATTTATAATAAATCTAGTAAAGTAGCCATGTTAAACATAGTAATCTCTGGATGTGTGTTATCCACCACTTCTCAATGGAAACTGTGCCACATAATGTTGTAAAAAGCAAACTCTAATTCCTGAAACAACACACCTCTGGACATTAATTTGAATTTAGCAAAGATGCTATGAAATGTTTCTCACAGACACCAATAGTTCTAGTACAGTATCATAACAAAAAGAGGTATATTTCAGGTGATGACATAGAATAAAAAAGATTTATTATGAAAAAGTTCTGATACTTGAAACAAGACAGAGAACAGAAATTAAAACCAATCAATAAAGCTATGCATTTACTGATGAAAAAAACCTCCTTTTCTTTGTTTATAGCATCTGCTTTAATCTATCATTGCAATTAAGCCAGAATATATATTAAACAATTCAGGAGGGTACAGGGACAACAAAGTATAAATTATTATACCTGCAATATTATGACTGGTGAGTGTTGCTTTGATATTTTTCATGAGCAATTTTAGTTCATGAGCCCTTGGAGGCTTAGGAGGACTAGCACCCTGAGGAATGGCCCCTGTATTCTGTATATAGGAAGGAAAAAATAAATAGCTCCATTAAAGATCAATGTGCAATAAATTACGCTGTCCTCATACATTAAATTTCAACATCATTTTGAATTAAGCATTGCATATCATTTATGTAGACTCAGCCAAGGCATTAAATTATGAGAATCTTTCAACAGGAAGTACAAAAAAGGAGCCACAGCAGCAATGAGCAAATCCATTATTTTAAATAAAGCTATACCTGTATTCCTTTTATATCAGTAGATCTTGTACTCAGAATCATAACAGGTGATGTGCAACTGATGAGATTCTGCAACACACTTTTAAATGTTTCTAATACAGTGCATGTCCCAAGAGTCTGATCCTAAAAAGAGAAAAATGGTGGCATTGCTTATAAAACTTTGAAGAAACATATGGGAGAAAATCTTCAAAATTGTTACAGCATGCTGCTTGGTGCATCGATTCAAACTACAGCATTATCTGCTCTACAAATTCTACACTGCTTCCAATTCTAGAAGAATAAGCTTGGATTAAAATAATACATTTGGATGTAGACAAATGTATATAGATGTGAGATCCCCTCATGTATTGTTTCTGATTTGTGCATAATGGAGAAATGAGGTCCATGATATGGAACATAGAAGCAGGCATAATGGAAAGAGCCAATGCACCTCAGTGACAATGCATCAAACATAATACACTGTAGTTATGAAAGCCAGACAGCAAAAAGTCAAACTGAAAATGATTAAACACTTATTATATATTTAGCATATGATAAGAACATGACAAAGAGAAGTCAATATATGCACACAGTCCACATAATTATACACAAAACATTTATGGTGGTACAGCAGTGGCCTCACAACTGGATGTCCAATTGAGATATCTAGGCAACTGCCTCTGGTATTGCTTCATGGGATTTCTACAGGAACCATCAAATTTGGTATCCAGGAGTATTTAGTTTATATTTGAATATTGGGAAGTTTATTGAGATATTGAATGGTATGTAGATTAGATAACACCGAGCTGTATTTTTTTCCTTTGTATTTTTCAATTCCAGAATGATCAATAAGGCCTGGAACCATTATCTGGAGATGTAAATAACCAAATGTGAAAACAAATTGAAGTTTTTGAAGCATTGAAGTATTCAAGGAACAGTAGCTCTTATTCAGAAAATAAGAGGTCCAACATGTATCACTCCCCTTCAAGATGTTAGTTTGTATTTGCAGAGAAATAATTCTGAATCCCTTGATCTTGGTTGCTTACACTTCACATTTAACTGAGGAATATTTTTACCCATCCCATTCTCTACACTAGTTATGCACATTCTTGGAGTGAGTGTAATTGTCAATCTGGCTATAACTATGTTATTTTAAACAGACAGAGAAAGACAAAGAGACAGAAGAGAGAGAATGAATTATTTCGATGGAGATCATAATGGGAAAGAGACTAATGCAGGGGTCCACAAATAAGGGGGGATGAGAACTTTTTTGTTTTGTTTTTTTAACAAAGGTGATTTTTTATGCAATGTTTAGCCATGAATTATAAATATATAATCAGAAAATTTAATTACAGAATATTCTCTCAATAAAGTCAATAGAGTACATTTCAGCATTATCAACCTCCATATAAATGCTATTCATTCACTCTGCCGCATTGTGTCACCTATATCCATCTATATTAGCTTTCATCAAGCGGGTGCCCCCTCCCTCTATGAATTCATGGGGTTGTAATTTCATAGAATTGGGGGGGATGCCACCAGGATTGGGTTGCTGCCGGAGTTACTGCCAGTTCACTGCGCATGTGTGCACAATTGCCTATAAATTGTTCTGTGCATGCGCAGAACATTTAAAAAGGGCTAAAAACATGCCGGCAATGGCATGGGCGATTGGGAACCGGTTTGGGGGCATGGCCAACCTGCCATCCATACCGGTTCAGTGACCCACTCACAATTTCCACTATCAGTTCACCCGAACCAGTGCGAACCAGTAGCAACCCACCTCTAGTGCCCACTATGTTGAAGAAAACTGTTCTGATCCATTAATTTTTATTCATAAATACACTGTAGCCAACTTCATAGATCTTTCATGCCCTGTCTTTTTTTAATTCCTGAACATTCAACAGGTTATACGTAGCTGAAGCACAAAGCATTTGAACCTTAAGAATGCTTTTTAAAAAAAGAGAGAGAGAGTATCTGTTAAAGTCTCCCTCTAGGAGCAAAGATCACCAGCAATATTTTGAATTCTGTCTAATAAACAACTGGAGACAAAAAGCAGTCTCTTTTATTACTGCCCAAATAGCCTTAAAAATGCCTGTGTTTTTTACAGGCAACTGTATAGATAGTAAAAATGATAATTTCCAAGGAAATGATAGTAAAGTAATGATGTATACCTGAGTTTGCTGTTGTTGTCTATCTCAGTGGCAATTCTGAGAGGCTTTATAGACTATTATTGTAATTGTTTTAGAAGTAGCAGCATATAATTAATTACTCATGCAAAACTTAACAGCAGCCTATAATTGTCAACCTTTCAAAAAGCTGTCACATCCACATTAGTATGCCAAAAACCGTAGCTTTATACCCTTGGCTCCTAATTATATTTATTAGAAGCCACTCCTTTGGAATGTAGAATCAAGGTGCTAGTGGTTTAGAGAAGGGACAGACAAATGTTTAGAAATATTATTTATTTAAACCAGCTGTAGTTACATGTAAGAAAATGGCAACATACTTACTTTTTGCACATTAGTAGGTTTAACTTCAATATTTGTTTCAGAGGAATAGATGAAAGACCACTTGATCTGGATGTCTTCCTCTTCAGATTTTGCTGAAAGTTTCAGCTGTTGATAATGACAGTTCATTAAGGATTGTGATTTTTATTTTGCAAAATTAAGCAGGTGTTAATGTCAGTTGCAGTTTTATATAAATCGCAGTTCAGCTTATGATACAGAATCTTTCTTCTTTGAAATTTTTAAATTATGAATATAATTTAAATTTGTGAATATATATTCTGATAGAAAATCTGATATACTCTTCAAATACTTTGGGCATCAATTCCCAGAAATTCCAATAGTAAACAATTATGCAAGATATAGTTAAAAACTCTTGAAGAACAGCAGATTAATTAGTTATGTATGTTCACTCTCTGTAGTCCAAATGCAATCTAGTACATACACAGTTCAGTGAACTATGGCTATCTTCCGGATCAGTTAGTCCTCAATTTTCATAATTTATCATACCAGTTGGACTATCTTTGGTTGGTGACACAAAATGCTGAGAGTTTGATCCTAGCATCTCTTTCCCCAGAGCCCCAGACTGGGAACACTACAAACTACATAATTACTGTAGGACAACTGATTAGTAGGTGCTTAGCATTTACATTTTTGACATAATTTCTGATGGGTACATTTAGTAAATTTAAAATTTAAATGCTTAGCATCTACTGATCAGTTCGTTCTATACCAATTATAAATGAAGTACTCAATAAAATGTAAAGAATTTAGGTTTCTGTTCCTGTCTATACTGCTGACTAGGTATTTGAAATGTAAATAAACTTTCTTGGCTCTAAGATTTTAAGTCCAAACATGCACCAGCTACCAGCATCCATATATATTATAACTGCTTCACTGTTCTCTTGATACAAGCAATAAAACAAATCAGAAGCTAGTTAAACATATATTCCCAATAAATCCAAAGTGGTAAACCTGTCTCTAAATAAATCATAATATGGAGTTGTAGTTTAAATTTGGCTTCTAAATTGAAATGTTTGAAAGTCATTAAATATTATTTGGGTCAAGCAGGAAACTACAATTAAATGAAGTTTCCTTAATTGCAGAACAGAATTATAAGGAGATTCCATGTAGGTTTTCAATACAATACCCAAACTGAAATCTATGGTTGACAACAATATTAAACATGAGGAATCTAGTTACATAAAGAGTACAACTGACACCTATGGTTGAATAAAGCATATATAATTTTTTAAATTAAATAAGGTAGAAAATATTAATTAATAGGTCACTAGTTTATAAAAATATCAACTATATTAATCCAATGTAAATATAAATTAGATCAAATTTAATTTTCATCCAGACTATACTATTTTTAAGAAGTGCTTTCCCTCCAACAAATCACATAAAGACTAGATATGTCCTCTGCCAGAAGAAGTTATGTACTGTTACTTACAAGAATGTCCAAGGTGACTAAATGAACGAATACATATGTAAGATATCTTACTGCAAGATTTGTTAATTTACATTCAAAATATTACCTGCAAATGAAGTGGAGATAGTTTTACTCTGTAAGACTGACATTCTCCAGTAAGACGTGCAATTTGGTATACACTGACAAGAAAATGGAAGGAATTTCCAATTACATTACAGGAAACCACCTAAAATAATAAAATATAATTTTATCATCAAGCTGTATTTATAGAGAAAGCATCCTGAGCATTTATTTGAATGTTAAAGTGATTGCCATTTTTTAACATCCGAATTCAAATTTTGGCAGTTGCATTGGTCCAAAAAAGTAGGTTGTTTCTTGTCTCTTAGGTGAATTAAGCTTGTATAGAATCTTGTCCGTGGGAAATAAAGCTCATTGATGTAATTCTAATGCTATTATTTTACAACCAAACTAAAAGGAGCTAGCAGGAACCTGTAGTGAAATGTTGTAAGATCATTTTTCAAGCTATGTTATCCAGAGCATTCTCAAAAAAATGTTTGTAGATGGCTGCATCAGTATGATAAACTGAAGAAATAAAGTACTTGCATTTACAGCTATATGTGTGTGTACATACAGTATATTCATTCCACACAAATCAGAATGTTGCATTAACAAGATCCTATCTTATATGAAAGACAATTCACATATAACAGCATGGATGTTGGTATCTCAATATCATTTGAGTGATATTGGCAGAAGATTGAGTAGCATCATAACAGGACAAGCCTTCCCAGCCTTCCAAGGAAATATTTCCACTTGGGCTCCAAATAGTTTAAAACAGTAGTATGTGGAGGAGTTCATTGGCAGGCTGGTGAGGAGGAGGCTATTATTTTTCATGTTCCTTATCTAAATTATTTAAATTAAGACTCTGTCTACATGTTTAGGACTTGAATCTGAAAATGATTGCATTACTGCTACATTAAGAAGTAAGGTTGCTTTTTTCACCTTCCTCCTCATAAAGTCTACCACATGGATATTCCCTCTGTTAGAGATACTTAATTATATTTGATAAAGATATACCTAAATTTTAGCTTTCACTGCTCTTTCCCCAACCCACCATCTGCACATTCCATTCCAACACTATAGAACCCTATATTCAGTGCAGAGATTTCTGGTTTTGTACCAACTTTATCATATCAGGATGTTTATTTTTCTTTTAAAAGGTACAAATATTTTACTTATTATTTAGGAATTTAAGATTTAGGCATTTAAGGACTATCAAGCAATCAGAGAAAAATCCTATCACTTTTATCTGTTTCTGCTTAAGGGTACCAAAAGGTATATTTAGGCTTATTTGGGAGTCTGGAAGAAAATCCTTTCCCACAACCTTTGAAAGTGTTAATATCAGACTGCTGTAACCTCATAGAGCACTTCTGCTTTTCAGTCTCAAGGTATCTTCTTCTTTGAGAACAAATTTTTCTACTGATACGTATTAACCACTTGGTATCATTTTTGCTTCAAATATGGATAGTGTGACTCTCTGGTTTTTGACACAGAAACATTTGTACTGTTATTCAGGCAGCACTTTATAAATAATTTACTGTTTGTTAATAGAATAGGAATAGGAATAGAATTATTTATTGGTGAAGTGTGATTGGACACAAATTTGTGTAATAAAGGAAAGTAACCCATGAAGGAGTCAGTCCTGTTAATTTCATACCAATCAGACAACTCCTACCCACTTGAGTCAATATTTAAGAGTTATTTCCTTACTTAGACTGAGAAACAGAAATAGTGGGCAAATAGAGAGTGGGGGTGATTCTGTCTTTCTGCTGGCTTCTCCATTTACTTTGTTTGTAATAAGGTTGCAAGAAGAAAGTCAGTGTGGAGGCCAGCAGGAAGATGCTAAGGTCAAAGGCAAGTAAACCATTACTGAGTGAGAAAGAAAGCAAAGGGATGCATGGGGGTGTGGATCGGGAATGGTATGTGTTGTAGCCTCGTAAGTCCTCGGATTTACGAATGACAGCTCGGCAGCAGCCAGGCGCATCTTAGCCAATCAGACGCGCCTGTCAGTTGCCGGGCTGTCATACGCAAGGCTATTGGCTCGTCCGTCTGACAGCCTTTTATACTGAGCTGTCAGACAGATGTCAGACGAAAAGACTGTCAGACGGAGGAGAGGTGCCGGTCTACTCACAGTTTCTGTTCTTTCTGTTCTTGCCTGTAATAAACTGTTTGAAGGTTACCTCAGACGCCTCTTCATCTTTCCTGTCGCCGATCTAACAGTATGGGTTGAGAAAAGCATGTAGAGGATTGATTGGGGAAGTTGTACATGGGCCAGTAAGAGTATGTGA